AAAAAAAAAAAAAAAAACGGCATTTTTTTCCTTTCTGCAACCTACTCCTACTCTAAGTGGTAAAGATACTTCTTTTCTGATTCTCTGCAGTTTGAGCACCGAAGGTTCACAATTGCTTCTTGCATCACCTTCGGCACTCTGTGGGATTGGACAGTTTTTTTCGAATTTTGATTTATTTCTTAATCAAAATTATTATTTTTTTCTTTTTTTGATTAGGGAACTGTTCAATTTAGGATCTGTCCGATCCTTCCCACCTGTCTGCTGCCTACATGTTTTTTCCCCTCCAGTCCATAGGTGACTCTTCAGAGCAGTGCATGCCACGACTCACTCGATCACAAACCAAGACCATGGACCGGAAGAAGGGAGAATCCCTCCTGGCCTATGAGGAACGCCTGGCTGCTTTCATCCAGGAGGCCAATGACAAGGCTGCCGCCGCGGCCAAGGAACGTGGTCGGATTGAGCAAGAAGAGGAGGCCAAGCGACAAAAGGAAGAACAAGACCGACTTCGTCAAGAGGAGGCAGACCTTCAGGCGACAGCCGAACACCGGTCACGCCAGCGGGAACGACTGACTGTTCACGCGGGAGACTGTGATCGGCGATGAGGCCGCACATTGGGTGGAAGTGGCATCTGCAGACGAGGCCCCGGAGACTGAGAAAGGGCTGTCAGCCCTTGCGCAGGTCTCCCACGACCTCGTGGCCACCTACGTTCTGCAGCAGGAGGAAATCCTTCATCTGCAGCAAACAGTGGACCAGATGCTCGCACGGCTGCAGGCGTTGGAAAAACAGCCAGCTGCTGTAGCAGCCGCAGGGCCTTCAAACCTTGCCACCCGTGTTCAAGTTTTGGAGGACGACGTCAGCAATATCAAGCGTGTGCATCAGGACTTCCGGACGTCGCAGCAAGCAACGAACTTCCAGTTGGAGACGCAGGTCCAGGCTGCTGCCACCGTGACGCCCGCCGCCGCATCCTCCCGGTGCCCACCCAAGCTGGATGACATTCCCGTCTTCTGCGATCAGTCCAAGACGGAACCGATCCCGTGGTGGCGCCAGTTTACTCTCAGGCTCGACATGCACCATGTCCCGAACAACGATCGACATCCGTGCTTGTACCACCGATCTGGTGGTGCATGTCAAGCATTGCTGGACAACATCTTGACCAGCCACGGCGTAGCAGTGTCGGAACTGCACACCAAGCTCACTTGGCAGGAGTTGACTGACGCCTTGCACAAGCGATTCCAAGTGGAGCCGCCCGACCTGCAAGCAATGGACAAGCTCAACAAACTCCATCAGAACACGCTGCTCAGTCAGGACTGGATTACCGAGTTCCAAAGACTCGCCTCCACACCT